CCGACGCTAGAAATTTGAATGACCACAACAGCAAAGGACTCGGGGCAAGGCATGTTCATATAGGTCGTCTGGCAGTACAATCAAGTTGCGCAAATGAGTTCGGGCAATTTTTAGTAGTTTTGTTAATTTCTTATTGATTGCCCGTTCTTCCACTATGCAGTCTACACCCTACATAACATTGGGTTTTCGATGATTTTACCTGACTTCCTGTAATACCCTATCCTTAGAGTTCATATTTTTGGAAACATAAATTAATTACTGTTCATGATACGGAAACCCTACCACTCCGCCAGATAGCCACATACATCAGTTCCCCGTAGGGAAGGTGACTGCCTGCGTAATCTAAACCTCTCCCGATTTAAATTTTGGTGGAGCTGTTGTAGATAAGGCATTTTATATTTACTATTACTATCGCCGTTTACCTCATAATTGGTGCGTATATTTTAAAGAACAATTAGGACTTAAGCTAGCTGGGTCCTCTAGGATTTGGGTCAAATAGTTAAATTTCCCCAAATGAAATAAGTTAACTTCACTCCAATAAGTTACATTGTCGAAAATACAACTTTTAATCCGAAATCATTATAAGCGACATAAGCTACATCTTGTTCGAGCTGCAGCCTCGAAACACTAAATTATCCCGCACTGTGAGTTCACAGATTTACCCGCCCGTTTTTTCTTCTTTAATAACTAAAACATCCATGAATGATATGGCCCATTACCCCTCTTAAATTCCATAGCATAGCCGCTAATTCAAAATTTCAAGTAGGTCAACTAGCTGGTAAAGCACCTACGGCTAAAAGTTAAAGTATGGAATGATAATCCTTACATAACCATACTGGGTTTATGATGTCATGAGCCACCAGGTCAGGCTATGCACAACCGGTTGGGCATTCTGAGGGATGGTGAACCGGAGACTACCACCCTTAGTCACCCTTGAGTGTAGATGTACAACGGATCAGAGATCTCCGCTACCTGCCTTTATAACAAATATATCTACGAATTTCTTTCTCGATCATCCTAGCCTTGCTCATACTGTTTGCCCGTTATCTACTTTCCGGATGAATCAAATATAAATGCTCTACCGACACGCAATGGTATGTCTTAAGACGACATCAAGCTCAGCAGCTTGATAGCATTTAACGTGCGGAGATTCTCAGGTAAGATTCATATTATTGACATGATATTACATGTATACGAGGTCGACGTTAAAGCTGCATACATAATCCCATGCCACACAATGCCAGATCGAGTGCATGCATATGAAAATCAATTAGAGTGCGCATCTCATATGGAAGTGGTGCCCATATTCGTGGCCGAATGCAATTCAGATGTTATTAACAAAGAGCGACCGGGGACAAAAATGTTGCTCTACATCTTATGTTTTCTAGACTTTCGAGGCAATTCAAGCACTTCAGAGCTCATCTAATTCGAGAATAGACAAATATCTCACAGGAACACACTATGCTAGGAGTTTTTGTAAGGTATCTTTTTTAGCAACTTCTTCCAGAATATCTGTCAAAAACTGTCTGCATGCAATTTTAAGGTTCAGTTCAGCCTCACATCTAAAAAGGAATTCTAAGGTAGGGCCAAGTGGCTATTAATTCTGACCACAAGCCGATGCTCACTTGGCGCAAAACATTAAGGTAGGTCTTAGGCCCAAGGGAATTTCACTATTGCAGACCCCTCCTCATGGTGGCTCGACCTGGCATAAAGGTCCCCATGCTCATATTAATCAGAGATCCCCAACAATACATTCCTCTTGAAGAGCAGGTCTCGCGGCATTATCTGACTTGAAGGACGAAGAATTTCAGGTCATTCCTTACTTTATCTAAAAATTCAGTTGGGTATAAAAATGAAATGAGAGGAATTGAAAGCACAAGTATACACAAAATTTACAGTAAGAACAATGTCGCTATATAAATTGGTAGTCTCGAAACCCTACTTATTAAGGAAAAAAGTGTCGTTAAACGAAAATTTATCATCTTCTATTTTTCTTTTTCGATTTTTTTTCATTAACTGATCGAGTTTCGCCATTACGCACTGTAATAAAGCCTTGCTGTACAAGAAGAAGTTTGGCAGCATTGTTAATATGCTTGAAACGGTCAGGACCGAGTTGAATACCACCGTACCATCTAGAGACCTAAAAAACAAAGAGTACTAATAACATATTTGAGGGCATAATGCCAAAATCGAGAAAATTGCGAATTCACACGATAACAGCAACATTTTCGACTCGAGAAATTAAAAGAAGGTGCAAAAGTCGTTGGCCAGCATGAGTTTCCCCGTCATCATCATAGTCAGACATATGGCAAATTCGTTCATTTTTGTGATAGGGGGAGATTGAGGTGTTTGGCCCAGAAGGCATATTCATACACCAAGCCAAAATGTTGTGGGTGGCATCAACCACTTTGCGATCACACAAAAGAGTTGTGATAAAGGTAGACAGCTCTCCAACCGACTTCACAGAGCAACAGTGTGCCTAGAAAATTT